TGCTAACCAGAAGTCTGGCAGTTCAAACCCACCAGCCACTCCTCAGAAAGAGGGTTGGGCAATCCACTTCCATAGTGATACTGCCTTGGAAACCCAAGGAAAGGTTGCTATGAGTCGGATCCGACTCAACGGCAGTGAGTTTTTGGCTTTTTTAAATAGGTAGAAGTGGATAAACTTTTCTAAGGACAGTGTACACCAAAAGAGTATAAGATCAGAAAGACCAAATTTAAAGTGAGGATTTGGCAGTGGCTGGTGAATACTGAAAAAGCTCGAATTCATCCCAAAGCTTCTTGGAAGAACAGCGTGGCAATCTACTTCAGGAAGATCACAGCCATTGAAAACCCTATGGAGTTCAATTCTACTCTGGAACACACGGGGTCTCTGTGAGTCAGAATTCACTCCATGGCAACTGGATTGTTTTTTTGGTTTGGGTGGACAGTCACATCTCATGTGTGTGAGTTACAGAATATTTGGTATGTGATTGAATCACTCTAATTTGTAGGGCAGGGGACAAATTTGACCAAAATGGCCAAAGTGGATTTTACTAAGAAATCAAGCTTTCAGAAATCAGTATTCCCATGCAAAGGTGGATATAAGCTGGTGAAGAATTTCACTCCACTGGAGGAGGTACAGGAGTAAAGTAAGGCTCTGGGCTTCCTAAAAACCTTGAAGAGAGACTTGTTTCTAGAAGAGTTACCCAAATAAAGAATAAAGTAGGCTATGAAGGTGAAGAGCTCTATCTATCATATATGGTCTTTTATAAGGAAAGGTTAGCATTATGGTAGAGAGAGAATACAAAATTGAGAGTCAGCTACCTAAGAAGTAAGCAAGAGGTAAAGTTGGTGGGAGGATTGACTTTAGGTAAAAGGAGGGACCAAAGCAAAAATCAAACTCACTGTCATTGATTCTGACTCATAGCAACCCCCATTGGATTTCTGAGGCAGTAAGTCCTTATGGAAGTGCATTGCCCCCTCTTCCTTCCATGGAGCAGCTAGTGGGTTTGAAGCACTAACGTTCTGGTTAGCAGTTAAATGCCTTAGGCATTTTTCCATTGTTGTTGTTGTTGTTATGTGCCATCGAGTCTGCCCGACTCATAGCGACCCCTCCTTGGGTTTCCGAGGCAGTATCACTACGGAAGTAGGATTGCCCAACCTTCCTAAAAGGAAGGAATTTCCTTCAAAAGTAAGAGAGAAACTAAAACCCAACCAAACTCACTCCCACTGAGTTGATTCTGTTTCTTAATGACCCCCATTGGCTTTCCACGGCTGTAAATCTTTACGGAAGCAGACTGCCTTATCTTTCTTCCACAGAGCAGCTGGTGGGTTTGAATCACTGGACTTTTGGTTAACAGCCAAATGCCTTAACCACTACTCCACCAGAGCTCCTTCAAAATTAAAAGAAGGGAATGAGAAAAATGACTTAACAGATATGGGTAAAATGTTATGTTTGGAAATAAGATGTTGAAGAAAACCTAGTTTGATCATTGCATTTTTCTCTGTAAAGTAAAAAGCAGATAATCTTCTGAGAGAAGCTTTTGTCAGAGGTTTGAGAGCTTTGGGAGAAGTTTCCAAT